TCATATAACATAATACAAATAAAATTATTTGCTTTCTGTTACCTTAACTTAAATGGTAAGTTAATGTGATTAAATGTTATTTGTTCAACTTGCAGTCTGTAAGATCTGGTTTAAGGGACCTCGTTCCAATGTCAAAACCTATAACCATGAATCGGATATTTTGCCCGGCATGGCAGTAGCTTTGATAAGTAATTTCTATAAAGAATCCCAATACCTTGCGAAACTTTTATTACAAAAAATAATAAGGATAAAATAAACAAAAATATATCAACAACGGTATTCTGAGAGTAAAGATGCTTCGGGGCAAAGCTGCGATTCGAACCCTGCACCTTAAACGGAGGAAGTCTCCAGCGTTTTGCCTGGGACAGGGACCTTAATGATCCCCGTACCACTGTAACCACGCATTGGAAACTGTGTCATGACGACGGCATTGATAAATTAATTAATAACAAAATATAAGATCAACCACATTGTTTTCAGAAAAAAAGAGAAAAAAAAATCAAGCTAAACAATGAGTAAACCTGAAAACGTCATAATGTTATAATATTGCTCTATCCGATTGAGCTATCTGGCCAAAGAAAGTGTCTTGGCCCGACTTTACTACAGTTATTACCAAAACGAAATTAAAAGGAGGGGGTTCACTGTATATACGAAAATAACCCAGAGTGCAATGGGACAGGTATCCTTAAAATCCAACGAATTGAATGATTTTTGACATAAACCTTTTATTTAGCACAACCTGTATCAATTATAATAGGAAACAGTAGCGCATCGTTTATACACGGGAACATTATTCTATACGAAAACGCCAAATCAGGGACTTAATGAACACTGGATAGAAATAAATTACATTACTTCTCAGCATCCTATGTATGTTAAAGCGGCAAAGTAAGGAAAATATTTAAAGAAAAGGAGACATGAAAAATGGAATCAAAATTTCAAAACAAGGTCAATCACTTTTAATTATTCATTAAGCGGACAAATCAGCAGACATTCGGGTCTTTAGAACTAAACCCAATCACCATTAGTCAAGTTACTAATCTGAGGTGTTTTTTTCAACAAAATTAATGAGGAACGATACAACTGGAGCCTCTTCCCCGTCTCTATCTTTCGTGTGTGAAATGTTGATTATTAACTATCCTCAGTCCGGACTCCCTCACTTAAATAATTTATTGTGTTAGAATACCAAGTGTGACGTCCCCTGGCTAAGATCATTAAAGTATTTCCCTTATACCAAAGTTCCAGTACATTATCTGACCATATATATTTAACTGATCATTCAAGTGCCCATGGTATGGTTTATTTTACGTCTTCGATACTGCAATAGCTGTGCATTCCGCCCGAACAAGCAATATTCGCCCAGCTCACGTCATATCCGCCCGAACAACCAATATTCGCCCAGCTCACGTCATATCTGCCAGTGCGGATATGATTGTTTTCTTTATTAATATGCAATACTGCTAGCCGTTTACAGACAGTTTCCCGGACTGACTCATATCTGCCCAGTACGTGCCATATTTACCCAGTGCATGCCATATCTGCACAGTACGCACCATATCTGCCTAGCACGAGCTATATTTGCCCAGTACGCGTGAAATCTGCCAAGTACGAGCTATATCTGCCCGACACGTGTCATATTTGTTGTACTTCCAACTTTACACATATAAAAAACACGCTTCAAGTACGCTCTTTTTGTGTCTCTGTTTTATGATTTTGAATTTGTAATAAAACATTAAAAAGTGTTGTTTAAGCTAAAACGGTTATAATATGATCCTCCCCCATTTCACCTTGAAAAATCTCCGTCCCACCGGCCTTTATTCAGTAACCACATCTAAAGTTCCGGTTTGATATAGATGTAGCTCAACTTGGCCAGCACACTTCCGTTGACTAGGTAGCACAATCGGTTAGAACGGTAGTATAACAATCTGAAGACCTGGGTTCGAACCCCAGTCTAGCCCTGTT